GTGCCCAGCCCCGCCCGTCCGCCCGCGCACCTGCAGGACGGTGAAGTTCTCCAGCACGCTGTTCATCATGTACTTCTCGGGCAGGTGCTTCAGCTTGTGGATGAAGTTGATCATGTACTCGCAGAGCGGCGACCGGGAGCGGCGACCGGTGGATGCGGTAGGAGTAGTGGCCGTTCTCGTAGCGCGCGTACTCGGTCTGCGGGACCAGGGCACAGCGGGGCTTAGGGTCCCCTCGGAGCACCCAGCTCCCTGGAGGCTCCGGGACCTAGTCACCATTAAGCGGGAAGAAAGGGCAAGAGGCCCAAGGAGTCCTGAGAGCAGAGCCACCTTTTCAGGTCGGTGGACGCGAAACATGACCCCTCTCCACTAGTGACAGGCAGAAGCTGGGGATGGCCGAGGGGGCATGGAGGAGACCCAGGGCAGCGACCACAGCCAAGACGGGAAGGCTACTCTCCGTCCTGCCGCAGGTGAGAAGACGCGGAGCACAAGGAATGGGGCTGCCGTGTATTGTGACTCCGGTGGCAATCACACACACACACACACACACACACACACACCAGGGTGTGCAGAACTGGTGAAGCCTGAGCCCGGTGGGGGCCATGCCACTCCGTTTCCTGGTTGCTGGTACTGGACTCGGGCCATGAGAGTGTGGAAGCTGCTGACGGCACGTGCCACATGCACCACGGCACTCTCAAATATTTAAACAGTTCTATTGAAAGTAGGGGCCAGTTGGGATCGGCAGGTGGCATGGTGGTTAAGGGTTCTGGACTCCCACATGGCTGATCACAGTTCAAGTCCTGGACCTGACGGCTTGCTTTCTAACTTTTCTTCTCTCTCTCGCTCTGGTCAAATAAATAAATAAATAAATATACATTATAAAAACTTCTTAAGAAAAAAAGTAGGGGCCAGCAGGTGGCATGAAGGTTAAGGCACTGGGCCCCGCATGGCCAACTGCTTGGTTCGAGTCCCAGCAGCTTGAAAAAGCACACCAGGCACGTGTGCCCAAGAGTCTGCGAGGAGGCGTGGCATGGCCGTCCCCTTGGGGTGATTTCTCATTCTCTCTCTGTCTCTCTCTGGCAAGCGCAACAACAACAACAACAAATAACTGAAGGAGCTTCTGAAAAACGGCTGTGGACGGAGCACAGTGGTGACACCAGACCCACATGCACGCAGGCCTAACCGAGCACGCGTGCACGCGACCTGGGCCGGCTGGGGCCGGGGGTGCGCCATAGCGCGTCCGGCTGGGGGCGCCTGCCTCTCTCTCACTTTAGAAATACTGT